CCCTGAAGGGACATCGCGAATAGACTAAATCGTGAAAAATATGCGATAAAATTCACGATATCGTCAATTTTATCGCATATTTTTCACGAAGAAATTCACGAAATTGACGATATCGTGAACTTTATCGTGAACTTTTCAAGATGAAATTGACGATATCGTGAATTTTATCGTGAAAAGTTCACGATATAAAGTTCACGATATCGTCAATTTTATCGTGTACTCTATCGTGTACTCTATCGTGTACTCTCCTGACGGGCGCTTCGTAAACAAAACCAGCCCTAGCTGGGGGAGACAGAGAGAAGGAAAAAAGGGAAAGGGAAAGAGAAGATAAAAGGAAAGAAAGAATAATAAGAAGAAAAGAGGGAAACGGGGGGGGGGGGGGCGAAGGGCTCTTGCCTCCTCCTCACTCCCCCCCCCCTCCCCGCCAAAAAATAAATCAGAGAGAGAGAGAGAAGGGAAAGGGAAAGGGAAAGAGAAGATAAAAGGAAAGAAAGAAGAGGAAGAAGAAGAAAAGAGGAAAACGGGGGAAGGGCGAAGGACTCTTGCCTCCCCCCCGCCAAAAAATAAATCAGAGAGAGAGAGAGAAGGGAAAGGGAAAGGGAAAGAGAAGATAAAAGGAAAGAAAGAAGAGGAAGAAGAAGAAAAGAGGGAAACGGGGGCAAAGGGCTTTTGCCTCGTCCCCCCGCCCCCCGCCAAAATATAAATAAGAGAGAGAGAGAGAAGGAAAGGGAAAGAGAAGAAAGAAAGAGAAAAACGAAAAAGAGGGAGAATAGGAAAGAAAGGAAAAGAAAGAAAAGAAAGGAGGCAAGAGCTCTTCGCCCCTGTTTCCCTCTTTTCTTATTCTTTTTCCTCTTCTTTCTTTCCTTTTATATTTTCTTTCCCTCTCCCTTCTCTTTCCCTTTATGGCGGGAGGGGGGAGGGGGAGGTAAGAGCCTTTCGCCCTTCCCCCGTTTCCCTCTTTCCGTCTTCTTCTTCTTTCTTTCCTTTTATATTTTCTTTCCCTTTCCCTTTCCCTTCTCTCTATCTCTCTCTCTCTCTCTCCTATTTATTTGTTGGCGCGGGAGGGGGGTAGGAGGCAAGAGCCCCTCTTTTCTTCTTATTCTTCTTCCTTTCCTTTTTTATTCTCTTTCCCTTTCCTTCTCTCTCTCTCTCTCTTATTTATTTTTAGGGCGGGGGGATGCAAGAGCCCTTCGCCCCCGTTTCCCTCTTTTCTTCTTCTTCTTCCTCTTCTTTCTTTCCTTTTATCTTCTCTTTCCCTTTCCCTTTCCCTTCTCTCTCTATCTCTTATTTATTTTTTTGGCGGGGGGTGGGGAGGGAGGAGGCAAGAGCCCTTCGCCCTTCCCCCGTTTCCCTCTTTCCTTCTTATTCCTCTTCTTTCTTTCCTTTTATATTTTCTTTCCCTTTCCCTTCTCTCTCTTATTTATTTTTGGCGGGGGGGGGGGGGGGGGAGGAGGCAAGAGCCCTTCGCCCTTCCCCTGTTTCCCTCTTATTCCTCTTCTTTCTTTCCCTTTCCCTTCTCTCTCTCTCTCTCTCTCTCTTATTTATTTTTTTGGCGGGGGGGGGGGGGGAGGTAAGAGCCTTTCGCCCTTCCCCCGTTTCCCTCTTTCCTTCTTCCTCTTCTTTCTTTCCTTTTATCTTCTCTTTCCCTTTCCCTTTCCCTTCTCTCTCTCTCTCTGATTTATTTTTTGGCGGGGAGGGGGGGGGGGGAGTGAGGAGGAGGCAAGAGCCCTTCGCCCCCCCGTTTCCCTCTTTTCTTCTTATTATTCTTTCTTTCCTTTTATCTTCTCTTTCCCTTTCCCTTTTTTCCTTCTCTCTGTCTCCCCCAGCTAGGGCTGGTTTTGTTTACGAAGCGCCCGTCAGGAGAGTACACGATAGAGTACACGATAGAGTACACGATAAAATTGACGATATCGTGAACTTTATATCGTGAACTTTTCACGAAAAAATTCACGATATCGTCAATTTCATCGTGAAAAGTTCACGATAAAGTTCACGATATCGTCAATTTCGTGAATTTCTTCGTGAAAAATATGCGATAAAATTGACGATATCGTGAATTTTATCGCATATTTTTCACGATTTAGTCTATTCGCGATGTCCCTTCAGGGCCACCATATGGTGGTGGTGGTATGATAATAAAACATAATAATAGTGCATGACATGTACCTAACGTGTCAAAAAGCGCTAGGGAAGAAAGGGAAGAGCAAAGCAAAGAGCAAAAACGTGACTGATCGAGTTCCTTTTATCTGTTTAAATTTTGAAATTTTAGTGTTCTTTAAGAAGACTTACAGTTATCTATTGTAATAATGTTTTTAAGAGAGTCGGGGAGGCGATTCCATAAAACTCGGGCAGCATGGCAAATGAACATTCACCATTATGTTTGTCAGAATAGGAGGAACAGTACACCAATTCTTTTTAAATGATCTTGTTGGTCAGTGAGAAATTCATTTAAATAAAAGGGAGCTAGTCCATTCAAGCATCCATTAGCTTATAGCCATGATAACAGTATCTTGATCTGGATGCAAGACTGGGATGTGAATCAATGTAAACTTCGTAGGACAGGTAGGTCTAATACATTCCAAAACGTTGGTACTGTTCTATGAGTTGGAGGGAAATGCTCCACTTGAGTTAGGAGAAGTAAAATAAGAGAAGCGGATTTTTTTGTATTGACTTTATTTCATCACCTTACGTACATGTTTAAATGGGTCTTTTACACATCCTCCTGAAATATAGCTATTGCACACAAGGATGTTTTAGTTTGTTTTTTGCCTCCAACCAGACAACTGAACTACATGTACATCTATAACAGTCATGTTCCTTTGTGCGGCTGCCAAATCGATCGGGTGTTTTTGTAGGGGGAGAGGTGGCGGTGTATTCTCCTGTTGTTCCAAAGCCACCAAAGCATTATAATGTATCTAGCGCTTAGATCTTATATTTTGGTGAAGTGTTTTCATTGATTATGAATGATAAATTGTAAAGCGCATGTAAAAGGTATAAGGTCCCGAAATGAGCTATGTAGCAGAACAATACATAATCATTATTACTAACTAAATGAACATGCAACCCAGACAACGCCCTCCCACTAAGTCCGCAGACGGGGAAACCCCTTTATTGTTCCCTTCATAATGACGTCATCTTGTTATCGCGCTACGGTGTATTGTACAGTATGGTCATAATAGAAAAAAAGGTAAAATGGATTAATGCCCAACTGTGTAGAGGAAAGGGTATTCCTTAATATTTTTATACATGGTAGTTATGGGGTTCGATAGAATATTTCTTGTCTCTTAACTCTATATTATCTAATTTTGTATGAAATTTGCTTCATTCCGGTTTGCCACCCTGATGTTAATGTGGTTTAATAGAAGCGAAAACTGATACGAAAGGAACAGATCGGTGAAAAAAATTGAAATATAAGGAAGTAATGACTAATGAGTACTTTGTGAACTATCGAACCCAAATTAGAAACTCCGTAACGTACCATTGCGTATTGAAAAAGATAGTTGTGACACGCCTCGTATATAAGCGTACACAAACGCGGTCATATAGGTTAAATCATGGAGCTCTACATCAAAGACGTTCCAAATAGTCTCTATAGTCTCTATGGTGGGGGGGGGGGGGGGGGGCTATTCGAATGAATTCCCCATGAAATAACTGACCAATCAAAAGCGACTTCCATTGTCGTCACTCTGTGTAAATAGATATGCTCTGCTCCTGAATATTATAATCACTCCACGTATTATTTTTGTGGACAACGCCGTTGTGAAATATAATCTATTCTGTCATCAACAACCAAGGAAATGGAAATTTATGAAAATTTAAATACACTGCAAATTAGAGAGGTGCTCGATTATTAAGACCAACTTAATATGTCAGTGTAGCCTTCCCCTCCCCCTTGATGATTGCTCCCGTTATTTTTCTTCTCATAAATGCCCCTTTTCCATTTTCTTACCATATAATACGCTCACATAGATGTGCCATAATTCCTTTCATATCATCTCGTAGTCTTTTCGTTCTTTAACGCTCCGCCCCCCAAAAAAAAAAATAACAATGGCTATATGATTACTACCATGTGCAAACATGCAATCTCATCTATTCATTCTTTGCCCCATACCCTTTATGGTGAGTAGGCCTACTGGCCATGCGATTGCATTGTGAAAGACATGGTGTGGAATCGATCAGAAAAAATTGATTATCTAGCATATAAGTATCTATGTGTATTGCAAGGTTCTGGAATCCACAATTTGGCACAGTCTTGATAAAGTAACTCGCACTGTACACAGAAAGATGTATATGGGACTACACAAACATGTGGCATAAAAATTGGGCCTCATTTTGAAGCTGTTACTTGTTATTAAAAAAGAAGTCAAAATTTGCTCCCCCCCCCCGCCATGCTTTTCAGGGAAAATCTTTTCTCTGATGTTCTTCCACACCTGCATGATAACAATGATAACGCTCAGAAATTATTTTTTCACCTCTCCCCAAAACTCAACCTTCTCCTTAAAATGACACACATTACATTTCTGACATAAAGATATTTAATTTACACAGATTTTTAAACCTTTAATTTCTTATCATTATGCTTATGCTTTCATGAATCAAAATCTACATTTCGTAAATTATTAGCACTAGCAAATTTATTAAAAGGATACATAAAAATAAAAAATGTTTTCAATGACACAAATGAAAGTACTGTGACAGTTATTGTTTAAACTATTGCAGCTGGGATCTGCCACTGTCCCGTCGTGGAACGTTTAATGAGAATAAAAGATGAATATTTGTGGTAAGGATTTCTGTTTATTCATAAGGTTGTTAGATTGCTAATTTTGTTTACATTTAGCGTCATATATTTTCTATTAAAAAAAATGAGATATCAAATTAATATTCTAATTTTCTTGAAACCAACGCGAATTGTAAAGGTAATGTATAATTGACTCGTATTCATTTTCTAAACATTTAAAGACATCTATACATTTCTTATTTTCTTTTTATCTTCTCGACAGATTGCCCTGCAGCTAGTATTCGTTGCAACAAGGTAAGCATTTCAATTTCAATGCAATTCATTCATTCAGGCTTTGTGAATATAAAAAACGCATTCAAAGTGTACCGATCACAAAATAGTAGTTTAAGTACTTGTGAGTAGGCAACTAGACGCACTCGTGTGCGCTCGCTTAAAACAGGGCCCTCATATACGGAACCTAAGTCTTAATTGGGGTGCAGGTTTATGTTATTTTTATTTGCTTAATATTCCTTATCTAGATGTACATACACTGTCGCTCATAAAGGTGGAATATTTTAGTTTTACCCCAATGTATGGAATTATTTTTAAAAATTATTTAAAAATAATAGATCTAGATAATAGTATACATTCTCAGATTTTATTGAATAATAATTTGCCAATGTGTGTTTTGCGGGACTGCTAAAGCATGTGTATGCTACTATGCTTATTAACTAGGGGAACTACGCCCTCAAGTCATAAATGACAGTAATGAGGATTAATGCCCCTACAAAAGGGCACTAATATAGCAAATCGACACGGTTTTGATCCTGGGGCCTCACAGTTACGAGGCCATCGCTTTGTCACTGAACCATGACTGTACGCAGCGGGGGCTAGGGTAGGGGGCAGTTTCCATAAATTAAAAAAACAGAGAAAATGCAATAAATTTTCAATAATTTATTGCATTTTACCCCGGTCTCCAACATAAAAAATCCTCTGGACGGCCATGGGCACACAGATTTTTTTTTTTTTTTCTTTTTCCCCTTCCACAGGGATCCTTTATTAAATAATATCGTTCACATTGTTATGTATACAAGAATTGATTTTTACATGCAGAAATTTAAAATAATATTCCTGGCCATTCAAAATATGAAAAGAAAATACATTTATAGATATCAGTTACAAATTGAAGTTCACTTTTTTAAATAAATATCACAGATTTAGTTGGCAAAATGATTTTAGAAGAAATAAACAATCAGAAACACTTTGGCAAAAAAAAAAAAAAAATTTATGTTGGGAACCGGGGTAAAATGCAATAAATTATTGACAATTTATTGCAATTTCTGTTTTTTTTTTAAATATATGGAAACTGCCCCCTACCCTAGCCCCCGCTGCGTACAGTCATGGTTCAGTGACAAAGCAATGGCCTCGTAACTGTGAGGCCCCAGGATCAAAACCGTGTCGATGTGCTATATTAGTGCCCTTTTGTGGGGCATTAATCCTCATTACTGTCATTTATGACTTAAGGGCAAAGGTCCCCTAGTTGATAAGCATAGTAGCATACACATGCTTTAGCAGTCACACAAAACAAACATTGGCAAATTATTATTCAAAAAAATCTGAGAATGTATACTATTATGTAGATCTATTATTTTTAAATTATATTTCAAATAATACCATAAATTGGGATTAAAAAAAAAAATTCCACCTTTATGAGCAACAGTGTACATTATTTTTTTAGGTGATTGGTACACTTTGAAATGGGATAAATGATTGTAGTCCGAAGACTAATGATATCATGTTTACAATATACAATAAAAAACATAAATTAATACACGTAAAAATCAAACATCAAAGTCATAAATAGAAAGTTGACGAACCTATAATACAGATCGTAAAATACACATGTACATGCATTGGATTTGTGAATAGCAAATTAACATATTGCACAATAAGTAAAGCTAGAGTTAGAAATAGGCCAAACAAAACATATTATCGTTAGGATGGGTTTAAATGTAGAAGTGTTTGGGGATTAAAGGGGACACATTGTGAACATTACACATGTACATTGGATCAATGGAGATCAATAATGGCAAAGAGATCTATAGTAGTAAAAAGGCTCGTTTAGATATGACGCAGCAAAACCGCGGTATTATTTTGTGCTTGTTTTATGATGAGGTAAACTGACAGGCTTCCTTCGAATCATCGGGTCATCGGGTTCGGTCGGGTGGTCGCGTTACACGACCTTTTCTGAAACGAAAACGGAAGATCATGTGAAGATGCACGTTAAGAACGCGATCTTTCGTAGATTTGCCGTAGGGTTTTTACAAAGTGTCGGTTAAGTTGGACCAGACCATTTGAAGATGAGAGGGGTTTACTTCACAATCTTTCCCCCTGACATTTCATGAATGAAGGGGAGTCCCGGTGATGATTCAAAGTAAGCCATGTTAGCCAACTGTAATACGTTTCACATTTCTGTATCTTATAACACAGAGCGCAATAAATACTCGGAAGTCGTTTCTACGAGCAATTGCAGTTCATTTATTTATACTTTTATTATTTTAAACCGCGAAGGCCTTTTTTTTTGCAGTTTACCGCGCCATATCTGAACAGGCATGTGCGCTAGTTTCCTTCGAAGGTTTATCTAGCGTGGACAATCAGGCAGTCGAAATGAAACCTCATTCGCAAGTCGCAACGGACATTACACGCAGCGGTTGCGTTATTAGCTGCTTAGTGGCGATTGCGTTATTGGCTACGCTAGTGAAGCCAGTATGTGAAGGCAGTTATCGCATATTTATGTGCCAGTCTTTAAGCGTATAATATTTTGTCTACTTCCCGGGTGCGTTATTTTTTTATGCGGCACAGATTGGGGCTTTTTTTTAAAAGGGGTCTTGATTTACAGACTAATACTGGTCGTGTGCGTACTAGACAGTTTAGTAGTAGAGGTCTGTTTTTAATAGTGTTACATTTAATCCACTACCGCATGGAAAATTATTACATCAACAATTAAAATCAAATTGGAAATCTGAAGAGGAGGCAGCACGTCAATAAGGAGAACATCACAATAATTAGTCAATAAAACTTAACTAATTTAAACAAAGAGGAATGTCATCTAAACACAGTTCGCGATGGATATACAAACTTCTTCGCAGCGCTAATGCGCTAGCTTTAAACATGACTAGTCTCACGTACGTGCAGACACTATTCAGAAGGGAAAGAACGTACTTCCCATAGGTTTAACACGCGCCATGCCCCAATCTGTGCCGCATAAAAAAATAACGCTTCCCGGGTCTACTCTCTTTTTGCAATGCCAGGCAAATAACGCCTCGTGTGCAATGGTCTTCATACCTCAGTCACAATAACTAGACCGATACCAGACCGAATAAAACATTGTATTGACCCGAATGACCCTAAATGGGTCGGTTTTGAGTCGGTGTAGAGTCGGTTTGGCAATGTATTGCAATAGTGAGAATGCAAACAGCATGCAGTAGTTGTTGCCAGGTAAGGAAACATTATAAATTGCCCAACACGTGATATATGCATATTGCATTCTGAATATTTATATACAATACTTGCATGTGAATGAAATATTCGTAATAAGGCAATTCACACAGACGTATGCATTAAAATTGATAACATCATGAAAATGGTCTATTGGGTCCGTTTTTCACCTTATTCTTTCAATCAGATCTTAATCATCATCGGATGCAGTATTGACATAGTCTGTCTCGTCGTCACACTGGTCATCTACATTATCTGCATTGCAAATAAGTAAGAATCCTTTGGTTTGATTACATTTCTTTCTTCTTTCTTCTTTTTTTGTCCTATAACTTTTACACTATGTCATTAATTGAGGTCATACCTTGCAATTGTAATTTTCCATAACACTCCATTTTTATCTTAAGGGAAACCTCACCCCAAGATAAATATTTAGTTATTCTGAGAGATCTATTGTATAACTGCCCATTAAGATATAATTGTCGTAATGATGATGAACATAGTGCTTGATCCCGTGATGATTATTTAAGAAATAACATTTGTGGATCTTCAAAAGAAATTATGAATGTTCTGAGGCCTTGTCTCCTCTTTTCAATCATATCACAAGTTCACAACAAAGTGTACTTCTCAACCTTTTAGGACCCGTTCACAGCCACAACAGTTGAGTTTCATGAATGTTTGCATTGCTCAACTTGGCCTGTTCTTCTTCGTTCTTTTGGACGTCGAAACCGACATCGACATCGCCATCAGCTTCTTCGTCGACTGTTTCCTATTCATCTCGGTGTCTTGTGTCCTGCTCGAGGCCGTTGCCATATGCATCTCGGTCCTGGACAAGACCGTCCATCGTAATATGACGATCGCCGGGGTTAGCTGCTGCTGGGGTAAGCCATAGCGTGTTTAGAGAGATAGTTGTGACACGCGCACACGATTGTGAGCGCTAAGACATGTCTAATTCATGGAGCTCCAAATGATTGCTTTCCATATACGATCGCTATGGAAGTGATCTATTTTGGTACTCCATGGAGTTGACCCTATGAACGAAGATGATTTCCGGTAAAGTAACTATGTCTTCTCTAGTAGCTAGTGGCTAAGTTTCTTCAGGCATTACACAAGCTTGTTGTCCGAGAGGACTCTGTCTTTTATGTATTATCCTAAGGATAATACATGAAATGAACATTCGTTCTTGGGTAGTAAATACACGTTCTTTATTACATTTCAATATAATTTTATTTCATTTATTTTTCAGTTCTGGAAAAAAAAAAGTCAGTATAGATTACAACATGCATGAAGAAATATGAACTTAATTTAAACATCACTAGCCGGGGCTCCAAGAAAATTGAAGCTTGAAGCCTTGTGATTTTGCATGAAGTTGTCCCCATCTTCAATAAGTAGGAAGTTTGGGAAATCTTACCCCTTTTATTTTGCTTACCCTGTGCAAATGTTTGTTTCCAAAGGCCATTTTGAATGATTTATCTAATCTCTTCCCGCAGTGACTATTTCCATTATTGAATAATGATTATGCCTCTCTGACTTATCAATGAACTATAGGTCGTGCGTTTAATGTTATACATGTCTTATGATTCTCATGTTTGTATTCTAATGCAGGTCTTCCTCTCCTTAAGAGCATTATAACGGTTGCTGTAGACTCCTACTCAGACGACACATACTACTCATATGGTCCTGAAGAGTAAGTAATATAGGATGTTTCGGCCAGATTCGCGAGTTTGTCATTCGAATTCATTTACTTTGCATTTATGTTAGCGCAGATCGGCGTGGCCATGCCAATTATCATTCAATTTTCCAGTTTTGTATCATTTTTATCATTTAAATTAACACCTGTCCTTCGTATTCGAAATATTTTTTATTCAAGTTAGGAATGTTAGGGGGAAGAAATGCAACACACGTTTATATGCTCAAATTATATGACTCTAGTCCCCACCAAGTCACGATATTGTATCTTTCCTCCATAAAATATGATGAAATTATGACAAAATTATGATGAAATTATGACAAAATTATGATGAAACACAAGACAAACAACTTCCTTACATGAATATTTACAAACATAATGAGACCATCAAGTCCGTAGATGCAAGTCGTTTTTTCCTTAACAATTAAACTTAAATGCTGATGAGTATTAGATAAAGAATGAGCACCAGCTCCACTCCCTGTTTCATAGTACATGTATTTCTACCATGTGGTCACCTTGAGGGTACATGTATATGGCAATAACTAACACAAAGGATTTAGTCATCCTACCAGGTCCTCATTTCTCTCCCGGGTATGAAATGGCAAATGTATATTAATGCCTTGCAGAGGTCATTGGTGCCGTTGGTACCGATCGAACCCCGGCCCTGCATTTCAAGTCTAGTGCTTAAACCTCTCGACTACGACACCCCTTCTCTGTCTCTCTCTCTCTGTCTCTCTGTCTCTCTCTCTCTCTATTCCTCTCTCGCATTTGGGTCTCGTTGTGTGACATATTAATTTTAGGCTACTGTCTCTTTTTTTATAGATACTTCTTGGGTACTGGGCAACCTCTCAATACAGCTGAAATCGTCATCATCACACCTTTGTTTTGCGCCACCATCGCCGCGATTGGTTACTCCGTATTTTCACTGTGTCACGCTTCCACAGTCAACGGAAAAGAGGAGGAGAAACAGCGACACGAAGCGTGGCTTCGGATTGGCCATATTTCTGCGATATGCCTGTGCTTCTTCTCGTGGATCATCGCCCTTCTCGTTGTCGGCATCTGCAGGCAATCATTCTGCATCGTTTTTATTGTCTTCGCTTTGCCTCAGGGGATCGTCATCCTCGTTGGTTTCTGGTACCGGATTACCGGAAAGAAGGAGTTCTGCGAGTCGAGCGGTGAGGACAACCCCGGACGATCATCGAGTGTTAGCCCTTTGCAAGATGGCGATGAAAAGAAAGGGAATACCGAATCGATCCAGATCAACTCAATGGGCGCTACCGGTTAGGCTGATTAAGGCATGGTGGACCAACCGAATTAAACATAGAGATGGGTGGTAATATATTACACACATGTGAGGATTTGGAGTCACCAAAGTTTGATCAAACGGAAAAAATATGGCTAGGATATAGATTTTGGATAAAATACCGTTTTATTTCCAGTAAACAAAGCTAGTTCAGAGATATTATCTGCCCATGGACAGATAAAGGTGATTTGTACAAAACTGTAATGCCGGATACACATTCGTGAAATTTATGTAATCGTTATTCATTCTGTAATACAAAGCCGGATATTTTTTTGAGGGGGCAAAAACAAAGGTATTTATAAGCCATGCAGTTCATAGTTGCAGTCTGAGCATGAGCAGATAAAGGTCATTGCAGACCAAATTGTGAAATACATGGAGACAAAATACTGCATGGATGCGTGCTCATGAAAGTTATGTAATAATTATTAATTAATGCACAAGCAGTGCACTCCATGATACCCAGATGGAAGTATTCTTTAAAAAGGGGGAACAAAGGCTATTTATGTAGCACCTCCATCGCTGTAGGAGTGATTATTTCCAAATGTACAAAGTGGGACCTCTTCATGTTTTGAAGATCTGTAGATATTCGGGGTCATTTGGGACATGTGCTAACCGTCAACTGGTCTATCAGTCAAGCACCTCCATCAGTGATTGAAAATGTGCAAAACGGGACTTCTCCATATTAAAAAGAAAATTAAAAATTAATACCAAACTACTCTAGAGAAAGTGAAAGCTTGAATGAAATCGGACAAAAAGATTAGACAGTTATTAATTTTTGAGATTTGTAATCACTGTAAATTGTTCATAATGTGTGAATCAGGAGGGTCTCCTCTTTTTAGAGAACCTATGATTATATGTTATGCATAAATATAATTTTGAGTAGTGCCCCAAAGGGAAAAGGCGCTTAGGAGAAAACCACAAATCAATGATACTTTTGTTTCCGAACTGGTCTGTACTAGGACCCCTTGTGTTGCTATGTGTGTTCCATTGCCTTTCATGATTTATTGTACTACTACTAGTAGTAGTAGTAAAACTTTTATATAGTACTTTCTTTTTTGCACAGCAGCTGTTTAAATATAATCATACAAGGTTGAATTGCCAAACGTTAAATGATCTCTTTCTGTGCAATTTTGATTTCTTGAAAAAAATAGCGATCGTGTTCTTGGCAGCCTGTTTTTTCTTCATTTAAAAAAAATGATTTCATTAATCCTATTGAAATCGTAACGAATGTATATATAGATAATTTGTTTCTCTGATTTCTTTTTATATAAGTGAAGTGGGATGTAGACCTATCCGTAATCATTTTATTTTAGAGCTCCGTTGTCTGGTCGATAAAATACAATTTTGTTCCAGCAGCGGTATTAACGTCCTCTGGCAAGACATTGAAAATTTGCCATATTATAATCATTTTAAAAATTATCATTATTATTATTTTTTTATCATTATTATTAAAGATATTATTATTATTATTATTATTATTATGATTATTGTTATAATCGTTAATTATTTGGCGTCACCTGTGCCTGGGTGGGAAATAACGAACTGAACCACTGTAACCATCGGGTCTCTCCTCCCTGTTTAACTGATTAGCGATGTGCAGGTGGAACCCTACACCGTACGTGGTGTCCTCCTACTATAGGATTTCCTCGCGAAATTCCCGAGTTTGTCATTCGAATTAAGTTACTTTGCATTTAAGTTAGCTCTGCCATGCCAATTATCATTAAATTTTCCCGTTTTTGTATTCGATTTAGGATTTTGGTCGAAAGGTTATATAGATCTGTCATTCAATTTAGAAACTGCTCAACTAGCATTCAAATTAATCGTCACTTGTCGAGGTGTCATTTTTGTCATTTAAATTAACACCTGTCATTTGTTTTCATGACATGTTTATTCAAGTTATGAAAGTTAGGGGAAAGAAATGCAACACACGTTTACAGTTTTAAAATTGTGTGACACTAGTCCCTACCCAGTCACAATATTGCACCCTTCCTCCAAAACAAAGTTCTGATAAATTTATGATGAAACACAAGACAAACAACTTCCTTCCATGAAAATGTACAAACATATTGAGACCATCAAGTCCGTAGATGCAAGTCGTTTTTTGGTCTTAACAATCAAACTTGAATGCTGATGATTATCAGATCAATCTTATAAGTATAAGTGCATAAATTCAAGAAAATAAAATATGATGAAATACACATGAAAAAAAAATCTTGAAAGAAAAAGGATGAGCTATAAAAACTGTGTAATAATAAACGAGAAATGTATATTGACCATCAATTTAAGGGCACAAAGTGCTAATTTGAATGCTACAAATTAATTAAAATGCTAGAAGTACACCGTCGCGATGTCAGAAAATCGTGTTGTGTCAAATCGAATGACCAAATAGCGAAAGAAGCACATTGTTCATTAATTTGAATGAAGCATACTATGCATATATTCTAACGAAAACTTCATATATTTGAAAACTAATAAAAGGAATATAAACCCGAAACATACCTGACAGCACTAAACCGTCGAATTCAAACGCAAGACAAATTGATTGTAATGACAAACCCGCGAATTTGGCCGGGAATCCTATATTATACGAATGTATATAGATTTTATTATTATTGTAATCATCGATATCATTATTTTTTATTATTATCATCAGTATTATTATTTCTTATTATTATTATGATTACTGTCATTATCATCGTATTGTTATCGTATTATTGTCACTATTATTATTATAATGATTATGATTAGTAGTAGTAGTTGTAGAAGTAGTGTAAGGGTCGTTATTATAATTTTTATTGTCATTATTATCGTTATTTTATTATTAGTACTATTATTAGTCTCATCATCATCATGTACGTCATTTCTCATTACTCTAGTTATTGTTGTTTTTGAAAATATCATTATCCATTTCCTTTACATATTACATGTATGTATCATATTGTTGTACAGAAGCTAGGTATGTATAAGCGGAGTATCTACGTGCCTTTCATGACTATTAAGTGTTGCTATTATAATGTTTACACAGAAGCTTGCCATTTTCAATGTTTGTTTCCTCGTCTGTTTTAAAACGCGTACAGTTAACAAATTTATTGACACCCCATGTAAAATTGATGTTTTTTTTAGTGTTTTCGTAACTCAAGAATCATCGGTGCACATGCTGTGTATAGTTTGTGTTGTGTTACAAGTATCCTAGATAGTTTTTCATTGTTACGATATCTTATTGTTCAAGTTGTTTGCCTATCTTGCAACTAGAATTTAAAATCATTTTTCGTCATAATAACGGTTATACGGTGTATTCTTAATTTATATAATTAATATTATTGTATGCGATGCAAACGTAATTTGATTGTATTTGGCTATATGCAGCTCATTTTCTTCACCCGACAATGACCATTACTTAGTGGCGGATCGGGGGGGGGGGGGGGGGGGGGAGGGGACAAGTACAAAAATAGCAAAATCACTCTGCATAGGCCCGACAACAATGAGAGTTGTGGTTTTTATTCAAGACGATTATTACAGATGTTTTTATTTTACCAGTTAAAACTTCTGCAGGATAAACAATCCAGAATGAATGATAGCCATGTTCTCTCGACATACCAAGGAGGATAGCTGGTATCTCTTTGGACATACGATGTCCACATCAGAGCTCGCTCGCTCGCAGGGCTATTTCCAGCCCCGTTGTTTACGGAAAAGATATCAATTGAAATTGCTTAGTACAGCTCCCTATGGGGAAAAGTTACCCTAATCTGTGTACAGTGATTATTAAGCAGAAGTAATTATTTTACAACGTATGTTTTCATGCTTCATTAAGATAGAGGGGCTCACTCGGAGAGTATAAAGGGTATGATTCTAGGGTAAGAGGCAGATTCACTGGAACTGAATATATATGCAGGCCAGTGCGTGCTGGGGAAAATGAAACATCATTTCGAGGGAAATTCGGACAAAGACACAGCGGATCGGATTTGCCGAACACCTTTTTTATTGCATGGTTCGGATGATTGACTAATTTTTCTTACCATTACATGTACATTTCACTCAGCTACTTTACACTTTCTCCAGTTTGACACATACCATTTTCTTTTTGTTTGGCAGATATTATTTTCTTTGGTTGCACAGATGCCATATTATTTCGGTGTACAACCCGAAACGGTTTTTTGTTTCCCTCATAAATTTGGCCATGCTCTAGACAACAACTAAAGACTTTCCTTAATAAAAAACAAATGATAAACTTGATTAAACATTGTTGATTGGAAGTTGTTGTTTTTCTTCAGATTGACTCCGTGGCGTGGCAAATCATTTAAAACAAATGTTCTAATAGAATGTCGAAGAGCAACCCAATTTATATAAAGAGAGAGGGGGACAGACAGGGAGGTAGTAGAAAGAAAACAAAGTTGTGACGGAGAGAAAGAGAAAGAAAGAGGAAAAAGAGGAAGGTATTTTATGAGATAAGCTAGAGAGAGAGAGAGAGGGAGAGAGAGGGGGCAGTTAAATGTGGAGAGAGAGAGAGAGAGAGAGAAAGGTAAGTTTGGGAAGAGGAGCATTATCAAACAGAAAATGTATACTGAATTCGAAAGCTTTCAAACTCCAGGTCAGAGCATAATCCTTTCTCCTTATAATTAAAAACAAAAAGTTAGTCGGTATTCATTTAGCCTGCGAGATTCAGGTTGTGCATAGTGGCGGATGCAGGCAAAATCTAATAGCCACCCCTCCCGGCTGCCCTGTAAGGGAATCATAAACTGCCAGTTATCAGGGCGGTGTTTCACGAGACCGTCATAAGTATAAGTTCACCGACATGCCATTGAAACGCATGTATTTTAATAACACGCGTTTTAGTGAGATATCGGTGAACGTGTACATAATTATGGTGGTTTCGTGCAACGATGCCCTGGTTATACTGCTGCATCTTCATAACTTGGTGGACTGGTTAGCAGAGTAAACCTCTCCACACCGTGAGCAAACTCCGTCCTAACTTTGCATTGTCCACTCGTCCACTGTATACGGCGATAATCTTATTTGAAATAAGAGCGTCTTCAGTGGTTCTTGCGGGATAAGACAAACATTGTGTAGTTTTGTAAGTCCATCCACGGTCAGTAAAAAGTGGGTTAAAACAAATGTGGCTTGCAGACTTACAGATCCCTGTCCAAATGTGATGACCCTTTTGCCCGAGACTTTGGCCATGGACCTATATGCTTTGGCCTCTTGGAAATGAAATGATGGGAAAATTTACAGAATCTTGTCAATATTGGCACATTAGCTATAATGATTGGATTAGCGCCTATTTGCTTAGAAACATTTACTGGAAAGGAGACGGCCATTCCTACAAGGTGTGTCAACAAAAGAAAATGAATTACCAAACAGTCGGAAACGTGTGATACTATATCCTTGAGCGATGTTATAGACGTTTCAACGACGAATTTACAAAACCATAGATTTAAAAAAATATGATCTATTATATTCAGAATGCGATATATAGCACTATACATACCTAACATCAACGCTGGACGTAACACCTTACGTAACACTTTACCTTAATTTTGAATCTCATGATTTGAAGTACCAATGACCATTTTTTGTCGCTCCGTTATCTTTTGCATGTTTTTGTTCCTTATTTCATGTATTTCTATAAACGTGGTGTATTTATTTCTTGTAATTATGTGTTTTCTTGAATATTACTGTAATGCCAGTGGAAACCAAATTTGTTTGTAACTTGTTTGCAAAGACCAAATAAAATATCTTGTATCTTGTATCTTGTACCGTATCCTAACCCTATCAATAAGCCAAACTTTAAATCCATTTGCTAGCCTAACCATGCTAACCTTAACCCTATTTCCTATCCAGAGCACAGGAAACAGTGCAGTGACCATTAAAAGGGTGCTGTTTCCTTTTTATTTATCTATTTTTTCTTCTGGTAAGACCATACTTGCTTTTCTATCTATAGTCGAATCGTGTCTTGCAATATCGCATTTCTCTACAAGTGTACAATTCCATATTCTTACACTTTGTGCTTCACAAATTTCCGATGTGAAACGTGTGAGAAAATTTAGTGTCTTTTGTTTTTTAATAGATCAGTGAAACATAACTTCAGCTGCAGTGAATATTTAAAGGAAAACTAACCCCAAAGAATAAGTGCAGGTATTCTGAACAACGAGATGAACTCCTGCCTTTTGATGAACAATCAATTTTACAAACGTGTACAAGAGATATATTAATGCAAATTTCTTGGCATTATGTAATGCCATTTAGCCTGACATGGGCGCAGCCATTTTTTTGAAAATGTGACGTACTAAGCGGAGTTAATAGGGACTTTTAGATTTGCGTGGACTGATAGGTGTGACGTCCATTCAAGGCAGTGCATTAAAAGGACGTCGATCGTAGCAATCACCATTGTCTTCGTGCGAATCTAAAAGTCCCTATTAATGTGTCATGCACCAAGCTTTAAATGGAAAGACTTTTTAATTCAATACCGAAACCTTTACTCTTCAATGAGGGAAAATCATAGCCGAGAAGGTAAAAATTACATTTGGTAAAAAATATATAGTAGGGTAACTCATTTGTTTAGAAATATTAGAATATAGCGGTAGAAAAATCTATTTTATTTATGCGAAACCTTCACCCCAAAACGGCTCCAACTTGGTTATACACAAAAAAGGACAATTGTAAAATAGACCACCCCTCAAAAAAACAAACCTCAAAAAATTATGATAATAACAACAATTACAATAATAATAAAATCATGAAAGCTGCGCATGCTATCCGAATACATTTCAGCCAGCTTCCCCCCCTCCCCCACCACATGGATTGGTGGTAACGTGAATCAACATCCCTAAGCTCCATCTTCTAAGCACCTGCATGGCGCAAGAATGTAGATCTGGGAGTATTTTAAAATGATTTTGTGGTTTGGTTTTGTGTCACCATGTGCAACTATCTGCGATGTCAAGCACACATGATGACGTAATACCTTCTAGTTTAATTTGTCAGTCTTTCGATCACTGCCTTCCCTAACTTTCCCCTTGTGTACGCAGCTTAATCACCTTCATCAAATATTGATAATGCCCTAATGAATTTTCACGTGGCACCACTTCAAGACCACACAATGACTTGGGGATAATTCAAGTCACACTCTTGCTAGTTCACAGATTAAATCTTATTTTATACTCATTGCCATTGATCTTCTTTTGCAGTCACTGATCTCATTTTAGAGAGCGAAATCCAAAGAAATAAGGTAGGGCATGAAAACGTAAGAACTCGACCTGTTGCAGCCTCTGAGTTAGACCGTTCGCCGTGAACATACCAAGTAAAGATTTCAGGTTTATTTTTGCGTTCAGTACGAGAGAGGTCCACGATTACTGCCAGGAGGTTTGGCAAGACTTTGTTATCGAGAGTAAGCTTTCAACTAAAACCTAGAAACAGTAATCAAGAAAATATACTTGTATAGCGTCAAGTAATTTTGTTTAAAGCCATTGGAATCTGAGATTTTTCGCCGCTTTTGATTGCAACGGGTTCCCCTTCTATGAGATTCTCTGGTCGACAACATTTATACGGTTATTGAAAAAAAAACAACAGTTTCTTCAATTAAATAGACCTATCTTCATGAACCGACGACTGCCTTGCCTTTTCGAGATACATTTGGGTCTTTGTAACAAGAAAAGGACCACGAGGAATTGATGTTCATATCGTCTTTAAAAGATCGTTTAATAAAGGTAAGATCATTTTTTAACGATTTCTTTTTGAAAGAGTCGTAAAGAATTTGTGATTTTGGCGATTCTACGTGCTTATAAGATATCAATAAAGTTATACAAACATTTGGCAATTTAGTTCCACCGACATAAGACTGTTAATATACATGTATGACTTTATCGTGATTTTGTAGTGTTGTTCGCTATATCCATTTAAAAAGTATGTTTAGATTTATTCGTGCTTGTCCTCTTTCCTTGCAAGTGTACCTGTCCTGTGAATGCATACAGTATCAGTTCTGTGCTGCAATGTTGAATGAGAACTTTATCAAATCAACTCAACTCAACCAAATATTTATCGTATGCTTGTATTATATCGTTCATATTTTGACTGCCAATTGTACCAAAGAAAATGAAAGGAATGACCTATAAATTCTCAATTTTATACTAATATTTTCAAGGTGATAGTTCTTGTTTGGTAGGCCTATTAATATAGAATATGAGAAAATAATGAAGTAAAAAGGAAAGCACAAATGATCACAGATTTGAAAAAGACAAGTTTATAGTGGAGCATATCCTTCAACCGGCGGAGGCTCCTCTAGTCGACTCGAAGCTTGCTCGAGATTTGTCAAACATAACGAAAATAGCAAGTGATTGTCATTTATACAGATAGCATGGATTACTGCTAATAAATTTGAATACATAATACGCATAAACAGGTATATTGCGTCTCATCGAGTTGGCATTTGGAAAATTTCTTTTGAATATAGGGCCAGGCAGATGTTAAATGTTTTAGTCTAGACAATGAATGGAGAGGCCTGTTGGGTTTATGCATGTAGTTGTTTCTTGTATGTGAGCAAATGTGACCTGCCTTTTCACCTGCTCCATGTAACGTGTCATAAATTTGCATGTTATGCATGTGCAAGGTGTAAAAAAACAACCATTTTGATTGTTAATAACTCAAAAAGTTAATACTCGTACAGCACCGAGGTTTGCACATTTATTCTAAAGCTGGCGGATATCTTGATTATTTCAAGTAAGTTTTATAACATTTATTTGAATACTATTCTTTATATATTGGTAAAAATCTTGAATTATATTTCGCCTCTCTGAAAATTCAAGGCAACAGAACTGTGCGTATGTAAACACAAATGCGATTTTTCGTGGCAGCTGAAATTCCAGAGTGCCCCTTTCAATGCATAGTCATGAATCATTAATGGCACTGGATAAAACAAGATGGTAGAAATGGCATGTGTGATGCACAATGTTATTTTTTTTTGACTTTCAATTAATTCCTGATACACAAACATTTTATGGTCTTCATTCGGCAAAAACTGAAAATGTCATTGAAAACCCAAAGTAATAATTTGAAAACAAGATTATTTGAAGAAAAATAAAATCACAAAAAACATTCCCACACCAATTTGACGTCTTTCTACTTTACAATGTAAAAATTGTCATCTGACACAAGTTGTACATTTTGAGTAATTAACAATCAAACCCAGCATTCAAAATTGTAAAAAAAAGTATATCAACTTTTACATTGATATTCATATTGATTAATTTGCATGGTTTATTTCCACACAGGCACTCGACTAAAAGTAAGCGTGACCTCTTTCTGGCCTATTGTAATGCTATCACATTCCTCTTTTTTCTCGATTCATTTGGTGCAGTTTATAACATGCTTTTTGCTTTATTTCCTTATTTTATGAAGGACGAAATGTCTAAACCAAATTCACCAGAAGAGGAACATATTGGGGAGAACGAAGTCTCGGGCTCCAAGCAGCCACAGGACAAAGAAGAGGAGAGTAAAAACCACGCCCAGTTCTCGGGGTCGGAGGAGCCTGTGGAGGCGGTGGATAGCACGAAACACATGCAGCTTGTCGTAACGTTGAAATGGTACGTTTTTTAATTGCTATCAGTTACAATATTTTGAAGGCCAATGGTCGTAATGTGTAAAATACCATTACATTTTAATTATCCAATGATGAAATCATTTTCAGAAATCCTTTGAGCGTCTTTATCTAATATTTATGATCTAGGCTTATCAAAAGGTTGCTCCTATATTTCAAATGATGGACCATCACCAGGTGATGGTGATGGTAATGGTGATGATAATGATAAGATAAATTAATATGTAGAATTACTTTTTTAATCACATTGAATTACAAATGAGAAAAGTATTTTAAACCACTTGTGATGAGTTAAAAGACGAGGTCAAAGATAGTCGGTTAGTTGTGATGGTGTTTTCCTAGGGCTTTTGGAGGAAATTCCTTCTCTACCCCTTATATTGCGAATTTTATTCTGAGAGGGACATAGACAGAGAGAGACAGAGAGAGAGATAGAGAGAGAGAGAGGGGGGGGGAGGGGATATTTCACATGACGTTTTAAAAGTCGAACCCAAATCCTGTACATAGAACTTAAGCCCACAATATACATTTTGTAATTCAAAAGGTTCATAATATTTCCCCCTTGCAGGTTGTCTGGTAACTATGAGCGTTCCGATGGGGTTTGTGTGCCTCGCTGTGTACTCTATACGCACTATCTCGATTTCTGTAAGAAACATGACTTTTCACCTTCTAGTGCTGCAACCTTTGGAAAGGTAGTAAACACAGTTCCTTTCTCTATGATAATAATAATGATAATGATAAGTTTTAGGTATTTGAAAAGTAGTATTTCGAAATGTTCAAGATTCCAATGCTATTATTTCTTCCTCGTACTACTTGGATAATGATAGACAAAACAAATGTAGGTTGTGATTCTGTTCACCATCGTTGATAACTCTCGCTAAATACGGGCGGGGGTAGGTTCATTAATCTATCTCTGTTTGGTGCCTGGTATAAATTTATGCATTATGTTCATTTATGCTAATGTTTGTTATTCCGACACATTTACTGAGCTTTATCTACATTTCAAATATAGTTTGTCTTTACAGGTAATAGCTTTAAGAAGTCACATAGCACATTGTCAGAGGTTAGCACAATTTTAAGTGAAAAGGAACCTTACCACTAACCCGTTTTAGCCGAGTATATACAATGAACATACAATGATTAAACAATCCTTTACCTTGGTATACTATGTGAACACGACCGCAATGACATTACAGAGATCAACCGAATGCAATCTCTATAACCTTGTCCTTAACTTCGTCTTTAACTTCGTCTTTGTCCGTCAGCTATAGTCAAATGTGCAAATACGTACTTGATTTTGATAGGCAATACAAAAGCTTAGGCCATTCAGCGGATTTCTCGAAAGTCTTTGCAATCGTGTAATATTCCACTGATATAATGCTTTCACGCGTTATGTGTATGTAGGTTATTCGGCAGAAATTTCCCAAGCTTACTACCAGGCGTCTTGGTACTAGAGGTCAATCAAAGTAAGTAACCTACACCTTTATAATAGGCCATTTTCGTAATCTAACCAAATTTATGCAACTTTATGCAATTTATGTTATTTTATTTACCTGTTACGAATGAATGTATCTCAATACTTTGAAAGAATACTTAGTGTAAATCCATACAAAATTGTATCTACAGCTATCATACTATAATCTTCCAAACACCATTTCTAATTAAGCTCTTAAAGCCATTCTATATTCGAAGCTAAGAGGACACCTTTTTTTTGTTTTTTTTTGTCTCGAAATTTGGAAATTTGACATTTGCTCAGTTGAGGGGGGTAAGGTCACCTTTTTTAAGTCGGTCGTGGGAATATTTAAAAAAAAAAAAAATCTAAAGGGGGGGGGGGTTTAGGTTTTTTTAGGGGGGTTTACAAACATTAAATTACCAAGGGGGGGGGGGTTAACCCCCAAACCCCACCCCCCCCCTCCCCCCTGCGTACGGGCCTGTTCGAAGCACTACAGCAAAATCCATTCTAGCGCCATCTCAGGTCAGATGTAGCAGTATGGTCCCGTAACTCGCTGCGTCCCAAGCTGCGTTGGTTCTCGCATCGCGTGCAAGTTGATTATGAGATAGCGTTGTGCAACAAAATATACACAAAAAATTCAACAATTCAGTATCGCTTTAAGAGGTCTTATTATTTCTATCTTCCAGGTACCACTATTATGGAATCAGCATCAAAAGGACTTCTATCTACTATCATTCAGTCTACTCGGGTCCTGGACTTACAAGGTATAATAACAGATGTGGGTATACAGTCGACAGGACACTAATGCCCTTTTGCAAGACTAATCTACATTTGCCACTCCATACCCCGGAGAAAAATGGGGACCTGGTAGGATTACAGAAGCCTTTGTTATAGAAATTGCCATATAGCCCTCCTGATGACCAAATGTTAGGAATACTCCCCAGGGAAAGGATATGGTGCACACTGTGCGTGAATGAATCCAATGAATGGGGTAATAATAATATTTGTAAAGCGCTCAGAGATTGTACATATCACTAAGTGCTATTTTAATCCAAATTTGCTATTAATATTATAGTATGACAAGCGGGCTATCTCGAAATTTTAAGAGTTAGTATCACAACACGAGTCGATATATATGTAGGATCTAACTGTTATTTAATCAATTTATGGTTGGACCTTGAATACTTGACAATTTTGTATGGCTCATAGGTTAGACGGTCACGATCCTGTTGCCTCAACTGAAATTGTGTATAAACTGTAACTATATATTTTTTGTCCATGAACGTGAGGATTAGCATTATACTGCACTGTCCCCATCAGTGGAACAGATCCAATGATTCCACAGATATGTATCTGAAAGACGGGAGCTACAGCTTTCAAGCACTTCGCTTCTTTATCACGATTATTAATTTGTCCGATTCAACTTTTTAGTGTAGCTTTTTTAATTATGGAGCTGAAATAAGTTGAAATGAAATAGAAAAAAGAGGAAATTGGTTAGACCCTAATTTCCATGATAGTCATTTTATTGTTTGTTTGTTTGTTTTGTTTTATTTCCACTTTTTCATATCAATACAAAGAAACATACAAATAAATATGATGAATAACATGTAAGTTTGACAAAATTTGTTTCTAGTTAAAATAAAAGTTTCATACAAAAGGAAAAAGCAGGAGACCACATGTCGTAAGCGTAAATGCTTGAACATGACCGTGGCCTCTGCCGAGTTAACAAAATAAAAGAACAACCCATGCAACTGCATTGTATTCAATGTTAAATAAGATATAATTGAAGTGATTAAAAGTGAAAAAGTGATTAAAAGTGAGCATGGCTGAATTAATTTTGAGCGAAAATAACAAAACAAATTTAGTGAAATATTTCGTGTTGAGAAGTGCATTTGTGCAAGGTGCAAAAATTTAGCTTGGTGGAATAAAAAGAGACTAATACCGTGATATTAATTGTGTGTTGGTTTCAGTAACGGGTGATAGTATTAAAATAAAATGTATGCTAAATTATGTTAGTAGGAATTGTAGAGCATTCAAATGTCTTTTCTTGAAATACTTTTATGCAGCGTAGACCTAAAACCCTTTGATGTAATAATTATGAGGTTTAATGATATCTAAATTTAATAAAAAAAGAAAAAAATATTTCGTCAAACATAATTGTACTGAATATAATAACGCTTCAGAATAAATGATAATGCAAAAGAAATCTTATTTCTTCCAGATTTTCGGAAAAGAAACCGAAGATGGAGGTAAGTACAAAAAAGTAGTAGCATTTCGTTCAAAAAATGAATTCTTAGATAATTTGTGAGGGGAAAATGGTCCAGTCTATATGAAATGACGTGAAAACAATAGTAAGAAATAGGCTAAATCACAACTACCCTCGCCCTTGAGAAAACAAAAATAATTGAGTGTCATACAAAAAACAAAAATAATTGAGTGTCATACAAAAAAAAATGTGAAGCAAGGCAATACTTGTTAAAAAGCGATTGTTGTTCCACAATTTCCGGCAAATACTTCAATATAAGATGATACAGTGGTTCCCATGTATGCTCCTACCCATGGGTACCCAGTAGGATGCGAAAGTCCATGCAGGTTGATCAGTATTATGAGCGTCTGTTTAATATCGCCCGGTTTTAACGCTCCCCATGGAGTGGAGAATGGAGAATGTGCTTACATTGTATGCGGGGGGGGGGGGGGGGGGGGGCTCATTCGATGTAAAGAGCTTAGAGATCTCGTCGGAGTATTAAGCGCTAATTAACCCAAAATATTATCATTTTCTTATTATTAAGGGATCAAACAAGAAGTTCTCTCTTAGCTCCAAGACAGGAACCCTACTCCCAGAGTACCCGGATGCAAAAAACCTTGTTCTCCCTCCAGAAGTACCATGCGAAAAGGTAAGAATCTAAAATGATTTTAAACCGATTGGGTTTACTTTTTCATTCCATTCTAGCGATGAAAATGTATTTCCAGTTATTATGATTTAAGCTTGGACCACTTTCCTTTTGATATTGTTATCAGTACATTTAGTATATCTTTTTGTCATGCCGCTGTTCGTTGTACATATTACGATGTGCAAGGAACTCGTCTTTAGTCCCATGGGGGACACAGAGAAAACGAATTATCATATTGAAACGGGAAATGCATATTTTCAATGCAAATCAGTGTTTAAAACAGCTCATTGTATATTTTTATATGATTGAAAAGTCAAAAGAACAATACAAAACTAAAGACAAGAATACTGAAATGCCTATAATGAGTGTTTTTTTAAAAGTATTTACTATCCCAAAACTGATTGGAAACTGAAGCAAATTCCTACAAAGTAATATCTATAGCACACCGTAAAGATATAATTCTTCCCCAAGTCACATACCTACTACTCCGATCTCCTTTTCCCACATTTTACCGTTCTTATTTGCATGTATATTTCTGATTCCCCGTTGGTTCTCTTTTTCCTTATATGTACATTTGAGATGTCAAGTAACTGTTTTTAATACTTCATTTAACTATCATGTTCTGACCGTAGGTGGAGATATTCATACTGATGTACCGAACTCACTCGCAACGACTGCTAGATGTAATCGTTTCGAATAACTTTGATGAGGTCGGTACAATAAGAAGTTGATTAAATGTCTGTTGCATGAATTCATATATGAAATAGGTTTACTTCATAGAAATGTGTATTCATATGAATGTAGGAAATCCATTTCATATAAAAATCCATTTCATATAAAATGACCTTATATTTTGTATTGGCATCACGCTGCAGAGAGCGTTTTTGTACTTTTCATTATTTTGCGCGATGATAATTGTATGTTTTTGAAATATTTTGAATACTACAAACATTATACAAAGTACTAGTGAGCCAATGAGCCAATGTTTTCTGCCTATAGAAATGTGAACATGGTGTAAGTTCTGCAGTTTAATATTCTCTTATCTAAATGTGTAGCTGGTCTAATCCTTTATTACCAACGTTTGTCGTTTTACCGTTATAATATCAAGAGCTCTCAAACAAGAGAGCCGTACTACTTCATTTCCATGAACTTGATTTATACTTGAATAGTATGACCGTCGTTGACAAATCCATTGCTTTTCAGAGCTAAGGCAAGTGTAAGTTCTGCAGTTTAATATTCCCTTATCTAAATGTGTAGCTGGTCTAAATCCTTTATCATCAACGTTTGTCGTTTTGACCGTTGTAATTTTACATGAGTAGTACTACTTCATTTCTACATACGTTAATTTATACTTGAATGGTATGACCATCATCGACAAATCCATTGCCTCTCAGAGCTACACAACATGTAGGAAAGTGAACGTTTAACTTAAGGCTTTTTTAGGTATGACGCGACAAAACAGCTGCAGTTTTTATCTTTGGAATGATTGTAATCATTAGACTTTGCTTCCCTTTAATCATACTTCATTTTATTTAGGTTCAGAATTTTCTTCTTCATTTCTGGCAAGGCCTGCCTCCTCACCTCTCTTGTCTACTGACGTATGACGTCATCCTTGATGTCATAATTCTGTGTGATTCGGTTCTTTACAAGGTATTTTTTACATGTATCCCGTCGGGCCTTTAGTAATCAATGAGGATTTCGTAGTAAACAATTGGGAAAAGATGTGCCGTTTCTTTATGGAATCGCTCCATCCCTCCCCTCCCCCAATGAGCCTGTCAAAACATACTGAGCCTGGAATTAGTTTTTTCCCACCATAAATACGCATTTCAACGTAAATATCATTTATGTATATTTATTTTGTGTTTAAACTGCGTAACCATCATCAATTAATTGCATTTAGCCTAGCTATTCCCATGTAATATCTTTTGTTAGAAATTCTTATTTTTTCGCACATTTTCTGCTTTTGAAATAAAATCATTCTTTACCCACATTTTCTGTTTTTCTAATATTCTTTTAGGTTCTTAACGACGTGCTGATCCCTGCAGCCATTCAAGATATTCCTGAAAGGTTTGTGAAAAGATTTTCCTCTTTAACATCTTATCCGGTTTAGTGAAAAGTGGTACTTAATCATAATATATTAAACAGCCAAATGATAACTCAAGAGCGCGTTAGTTTAAGTTGGTTTAGTTTAGAGACATGTAGCGCTAAGTCCCATTGATGTACATTGTGTTACAAAATTGATGCGCATCTGATTATTGACAAAATGAGAAAAACCATGGATGATAAATTGTTGATCTTGATTATTTAATCCTTAGCCTCTCGAATGAGATAAGATTATTTGCGAGGAAGCTGCCGGTCTGGCTTGAGATGTCTTTAGACCAGATCCCAGCGGAAGTAAAGAGAAGAAAGTTGAAAGGTAAGTCTCGGGTAATTCCTAATTTTATTTGTTTATTTCTGTTATAATGTATTCCACTTACATGACATTCCTCTCTTGATCTGTGTTGTACAATCGTCGTAAGGAATCAAGTATGACTAGAGGAGAAAAGATCTACACTGAGTAATACCTTTAAAAAACTACACCTTTGTCAATGATTATCAACTGTCTTTTTATTCTAAAGAACGCTACCGTTACTGATTTCCTCGTTGCTTTGAATAGTATACTTTTATTTATTTTCCTCAATATTTCACATTCTTAAATTTACTAGAATGTGTTAATTCAGAAATAATGATAATTCATTCATAATTCAGAAGGGGTGCTATCAGGTTATCTAAATCAGGTTAGGGAAAAAGACCTTGCAAATTGTAATGTTACCTATCATTTATGACTGATATGTATGCATTAGCGATACGTAAGCCATACGTTTGTCGTTGATTTTCGAAAGTATATTAGTAGCACAAAAGAAGATAACTAAATTATATCAGCCCTAAATAAAATTTACCATCAGCATTATAAAAAGCAGATGTTAACATAAATAAACCTTGTTATGTAGTTATAGCGAAAGATTAATGAACAAAGAAGTTTAAAAGAAGACATTTGAAACCAATATTCCTGATTTTCATACGACAGTGGTTCGAGTCTTCGTTCAGAGTCTTCGGCGCCAGATGTCATTCATTCATCTAGCTCAGGTCAGAAAGTAAAAACCAGGTCTCGATAAACAAAATTAAAAAAAATCATAGTAGTTGATAAAGCGTTTTATCTCAATAAAACGGAGATTTTGCATTGAAAAGCATTGAATTATAGTAACATTTAGTTTAATCTAAATCTGCCTTCATTATTTATTTCACTTACAGGTCATGGCTGTATTTATTTCATACGGTTCCATACTGCAATGAAATGGAAAGTTTATCGATGGTTCTATCTTTTCATAGCCAGGAAGGCTAAAGAATGTGGAAAATTAAGAAGAAAAAAAATTCATCCAGTACCGTTATTGCCTACTTTCTACAAACGTGATTGTGAAATTATTCAAGAGTGATAAAGAGAGTAAAGGAGAGAAAGAAAGGGAGAGAGAGGGCGAAATAGGGAAACGGAGGGAAAATGAAGAGAGTGACCGAGAAAGATAAAGGGAGAGAAAATAAGTGAGAATTGAGAGAGAAAGAACAAAAGGGAGAAGGAAAGAAAGAAAGAAAAGAGAGAGAGAGAGAGAGAGAGAGAGAAAAAAAAGAGAGAGAGAGAGAGAGAGAGAGAGAGAGAGAGAGAGAGAAAAAAGAGAGAGAGAGAGAGAGAGAGAGAGAGAAAGAGAGAAGAGAGAAGTGGAAACAGACATAACCAGACAGACAGACAAAATGATTGCATGTTATTTAATACAAATATCTTTATGTTATTACAACTGTTTTTAGACCGCTCGATCTGTCTTGCTAAGTCATGAATCAATCACAGAGATGTTGAGAGATCTGAAAGAGGTCACTTCACTGACATCCTTCCATCAAGCTGGATTGACAGAAGAACTGAAGACGTCGTCTGTTGAAAGTAAGTTCTCTCAGTCAGGGCTCAAAGCGATTTACCACTATCGCATATCGTAGCGGTTAGTAGCAATCGCGTGAGCACCGTCGAAAGGGGCGCACACGCTTTGCGTTTTGTTTAAGTTGCCCCCAATGAATGAGGATCTCATCAAAATTTTACTATTTTCCCGGTACCCGGACCATTACTGGCATTGTTCCTTTCTTTACGGGAATGGCTAAAATCACGACTCCAATTTCGACCAATCAGATGGCTAGATTTCTAAAGACAGGTATATAATTTTTCAATGAAATTGTTACAATAAGGTCAATCGTAATTATTGTTTATATTTCAGTGCTAGCCGAATTTGAAGCGTTGATGAACAAGCAAGCACCCCTTGAATCGTTTATTGAATGGATCGACTGTGTTATCGATGACCGACTTCTCAAGGTAAAACAGAAGTTTCCGTCCTTTGTATCTCTTTACTTCTCATTACACCTAGTCATTTAAATGTACGAAGCAGCAGGTGTAAACAGGGCGGGACAATGAAAAGAGTCTCATGTGGATATAAATGTAATGGCCATGAGTCTGACCAAATTTGTTATCATTTTGTATTCAATTTTTATTTGTAAAAAAAGAAATGAGAGAACCATCTTGTAACCGAGTGAATCAAACATATGTCACTTTATGATTGTTTCTTTTTTATTTAGACTTTATTAAATAAAGTAGCCCGTGGAGGGCTAAATATTTGTCCTTAAAAAATTGTATTATAAGGGCATGCTAATTTTGTACGAGCTCACGGCGAAAACTGAGCAAATGATAAAAACGGAGATTTAAAAAAAAATGTAGTGAAGGAAAGAAGAAAGAGAGAGAAAAGGGTTCAAAGAATTTAGAGTGATAAGGAGAAAACAGAGGGGATGAGAAAGATAATGAAAGAGGGAGAGAGAAAAAAACGAAAGAGATGGGGGAAATACTGGTTTACCCCAAACTAAAGCGTAAAATATATAAAATGGAATCAAATTTGAAATGCCTTAACTTTTTTGATTGCTTCTATACCCCCAAACAAGTATATAACTGCTGATATTGGACGAACATTATTTATTCATGACCAAGATTTCATCTGTTCTCTATGTAACAAAAGGATCATTACGAAGTATGCTATCTATTTGCTTGTTATCAGGCCTTTGATTCGGACATCGACCCCGCCCAGTTCAACAGTCAGGCCTCGGAGTTCCTCATGAACTGGTCTTTCATCACGGGCAAGCTCATGGCTGAATTCACGATGAGATCTCTGAAAAGTTTTGGTAGCTATTCGCATAGGGTATTACGAATGATAACTGTGACAAGTTAACACTAACGCAGGCATAGATTATTTCATGGAGCTCTGAATAGTGTCCTCCGCTATATTCATGATAGAGATACTACGCACCACATGTATCAAAAGTAGAAATTCGTAAACTGAACACAAATTTATACCATGAAACCAACTTAATGTCTAAAATTGACGATTAAAGTACTTTAAAAATTATTTAAAACAACTCAGTTACCTGAAAAATTAGAGATGAAAATGTTTTCCATGGGAAATGCTTAGGTTTAAAGTCACTGAAGAAATTATTCGAGGCATCATGAAATGATTGTCAAAAAAATCGGGAGCAATATTTCTTTTTCTCTGATGGCTATTTCAGTATATAGCGCCATATTTCTCCATGCCAGTGACATCTTGGTTATCAGTTAATATGAGAATAAATCTACTATCTGTTCTGTTGCATCTTGATGTAGGCTACTGTGACATGGAAGTAAGAAATTCATAATTAAGCTGAATGTTCAATCGTCATAATGTACCCTTGAAAAATAAATTATTTCAAAATAACCCGACTTTTGTTCCTCGTAAAGTACCCTTCGTCTGTGCATAACTATAATGGTTTATATTTTGCTATCGCTGATTTTAAAGTGATTTGAATCACAATAAGAGGCTTTAAAATTTAATGCCAATTTTCTACTCCATCTTCCTGAATCGTAACCCAGGCAAGTTCCACCTGCTTAATTTGATGCTCCAAGAATATGCGCTGCTGACCATTGAGACACAACACGACAAGGCTGTTCATATTGGGTATCAGCGAAACGTCCAGCAGCACATGAAGCAAACAGGTAGCAAATCACTGCCCTCAATCTACCACACTTTCTTTCGAGTAGAGAAAAGTACAATCATACATCCCTCTCACATAAACAAACCTGAGGTACTCGTGGTCCTTACGATATCAATTCCATATTGCCTGTTTTCAAGAGAAGGTTTGGTTCTTGTAAGGCGAAAACATGCTTTGTAAGCCTTCTCATTCTTTTATGTCACATGGGAAGAAATCATAAAAGACTTCTCATCCCGTATCTAGAATCGTTTGGTTTATATGCTGTAAGTCACATATTGTAACTAAGGGATGAATACTGACAATAGGCCTTCTATTGTCTGACTTCCAATTATTTTGAAAGGTGCAGACCTACAAAATGTGTATACAGTACTATGAATGCATTATTATTATTGTCCATTTCTGTGACAGTGGAAATCTGACAATACTCGGGTAATATTGTATCCCCTTCAAATTCAGTAGATACTAATTAGATCTCGGACGTTTTATCTATTTTTTTTTTCATTTGATGACGTAGCCATAATCAGCACCAAGGCGATGGTGAGGTCAACCAATCGGAAGGCGGGGTCTGGTCACGCCCACAAGGCAAAGAAGAGACGACCTAGTACTGCGAACGGGCAAAATGGTGAGCCATTAATAATAATAATAATAATATTTAGCTTTTAGATAGCGCTTACCTCAAATGTCTCTATTAAAGCCCTTTACAAATATACTATTACCCCGGTCATTGGATTAATGCCACAATGCCATTATTTGTCAGCCAAGCTTCATTAGTAACTATAATCAAAATATAGTGTAGGTTATGATGGGAATAGTATAGCTGTATATTAGGAGGAGGTGACGTCTCGTATAGTTTGAACGCGTGAGTAAAGAAAGCGAGAAACATTTAGACACCATGATCTCGTTTTAAAAATATACTAAGCAGAAAAACATACGTGGGCCTGTGAACCACCTCGCTTCCCGAATAGAGGTGAATACCGCCCGAATATTGACAATTTTAAACCATCCTCGGTTTGAAAGCAGTTTGGTGCCGCCCTAATGATATTCAAAATGATACCTTTCAAGATCATTGGTTCGTGACGTGTATTGCATCGTACAAGTCCATCTTCATATGAAATGATATCGAAACCTCCAATAAATACGTTCTGTCCCTTACTTCAGATCCTGACCCTGATCAACACAACAGCCAACATTTTCACAGATCTTCAGATCATATTGAATCAACCAGAAGGACCTCAACCTCCTCTCAAGACTCCAGATGTCAACCTGGTGACAACCCTTCGTATCTTTCTACCTACCCTCCTAACCCCGAGGTGACCACACCAAACAGCAGCTTTGTTCCTCTGTACCAGGGTATACCAGGGCACTCCTATTACAGCGACCCCAACGGTGATCCAGAGACGTCCTACAATATCACCTACCCAAGACAACCTGGCGATCCTTCTCCCAGCCAATACGAACCCCAAGGAGTCTCCTTCCCAGTCGGTTCTTTCAATTATCCACAGACGACATTCCCCAATACCATGCTACCTCCACACCTACCACTTTCTGCCTCTTGGAGCAGCTCGTCAAATACAGCTGGCTATGGTGTCTATACCGACTTGCCTGGCTCGTCAGCTCCGGCCCACTATGGAAACATGACGCATTTTATATCACCTGAGCAGTCACGTGATTATCGGAATTTCAACTTTCCTGGGGTCCAGCCTCCGTTAGATGATAGAGGAAGGATATACGGCTCGTCTGGAATGGTTCCTAATAGGGTGGAACCTGTCGAGGGTCTGTCAAGGAGTCTACCGTTCCCTGGTGAATACCTGCCCATGTACCATCACTGATCACCTGATTAGTCACATGATTATCGAAATATCAACCTTTCCAGGGTTCCAGCTACCGTTAGATGATAGAGGAAGGAGATAAGGTTCGTCCGGGATGGTTCCTAACAGGGTTGATCCTGACGAGCGCCTGTCCAGGAGTCTTTTGTTTATGTTTTGTTTATCAGTTCTGGATAAGGACGGTACCCATCATTTTATTGCCTTGGGATACAAAATAAATCTCTATATTGACGAACTTTTAGTTTCTCTTTGACGATTCAAGAGGTTTTTATATGGACAAGCTTGGGTAAAGCATATCCATTAATTATTATTAATTATTTTGTCAAAAAATGAAGAGGCTACTGTTTTAAAGCAGGATGATTGTTACGTTATTATTGTGCACTTATTCTGATATAGAAAACGACATTTGCTGTTAAAATCATACTCGCGGCCTATAAGCATTATAAGTTCAACACTTATTTTCCGTATATAGTGAGAAAATGGCAACAATGTAAAAAGATATTACAGGAATGTAATGATTGCAGAATCGTGCCATGTGTTTTTTTTCTTCAAGTGTAAATGAAAAAAGTAAACTCTATAATTTTGAATCGATGTATACTAGTAAATCGTTTGTCAACAAGTCTTTCTGTATATTAGTAGGAGACCAGCCTGTAGGTCCCGTGACCAATCTCTGGGAACAAAGGTTTGAAAGTGTTTTTGTGTTCCCTGATGAATACCGAACAATTTTGACTTGGGCTGCCCCCTTGAAAATCCCGGGCATTTTCGTGAGGGGTCAACAAAGGTCACACAGGGATAAAAATTCAAATAGTTCCAATCGTGTCAATATGCATATCAAATTACTCGTCTGGTCATGAGGATTCTAAAAATGTATAGTTTGCTATACCTTCGACCTTAAATGAGGGCGCTGTGGTCAAAATCGTTGAAAGGTCAACACACTTTTGACTGGTGGTCAAATTCACAAACACAGTGAACCTTATTAAATCACATATCAAATTACTCGTCTGGTCATAAGGATTCCAAAAATGTATAGGTTGTTATACCTCCGACCTTAAATGAGGGCGCTATGGTCAAAAAGGTCAATGCACTTTAGAAATTCACCAACACAGTTAACATCGTACGATTCTAATGATTATAGTGTCTTATGTTTTCTGACATAACAAATTAAAATAGGCAAGTTTTAAAATCAAAAGTGGTTGCCATAACCTTGAAATTTCCCCCAAACCCATGCATAAGAAGTTGTCAGATGTTTGTCACCGAAACGGCAGCCATTTTAAATGTACATGGTCAAGGTAAGCACTTGTACTTTTGAAAATTGTATAGTTGAATTTGCCATGTCAGAAAACATATTATTAGACCCAAAAAATCATTAGAATCGGACAGTGTTAACTGTGTTGGTGAATTTCTAAAGTGCATTGACCTTTTTGACCATAGCGCCCTTATTTAAGTTCGGAGGTGTAACAAACTATACATTTTTGGAATCCTTATGACCAGACGAGTAATTTGATATGTGATTTAATAAGGTTCACTGTGTTGGTGAATTTGACCACCAGCCAAAAGTGTGTTGACCTTTTAACATTTTTGACCTGACCATAGCGCCCTCATTTTAGGTCGGAGGTATAGCAAACTATACATTTTTAGAATCCTCATGACCAGACGAGTAATTTGATATGCATATTGACACGATTGGAACTCATTGAATTTTTATCCCTGTGTGACCTTTGTTGACCCCTCACGAAAATGCCCGGGATTTTCAAGGGGGCAGCCCAAGTCAAAATTGTTCGGTATTCATCAGGGAACACAAAAACACTTTCAAACCTTTGTTCCCAGAGATTGGTCACTGGACCTACAGGCTGGTCTCCTACTATATAGTTTGAGTGTCATCTTGATCTAAAATCTGAGACAGTGTGTGTCAGTTTGAATGTTAGAAAGAAGGGGAAAAAAAGAGAGAGGGAGAGAGAGAGAGAGAGAAAGAGATAAGTATAGATGTAATTTAGACGTGTGTATATGAATTCGAATTATCATGATGATACTACTACTAACAATATTATAGATATAATGACTGCTATGAGAGGGATAGTTGTTTTTATAGGCTCAAGGCGACGTTACATCCCGATATCACCCACAGGCGTGCCGAGGGGTGATAGCAGGATATAACGTCCCCGAGAGCCTATAAACAAAAATATATTTCGAATATCAAAGCAGTCTTTATATCTTTTATTTACCGAATTCACACACAAAATCTACAAAGAACTTTTACCTCATCCTTTTCTTGAGTAAAGATTTGTTAAAACATCACAAAAAGTCTGAGACGCTGTCTGTAAATTTTCGCTGGAAAGATGACTGAATGTTACAATCATTTGGGAATCGCAGACAAAAAGCAATGTATCGTATCCGTGCTCGCACAAAGTAAGTTTTAATAAGCCAATGGGGATCTCATCAACATTTTACTATTTTCCCGGTACCCGGAATCTTGCAGGGAATCTCACTCATGAACTATTAACCGTTACTGGCATTGTTCGTTTCTTTACGGGAATGGCTAAAATCACGACTCCAATTTCGACCGATCAGATGGCTAGATTTCTAAAGAGAGGTATATAAAAGTGATTATTACGATGATAATAATATTGATGATGCTGATGGTGGAACGGTGAGAGTCAACATGAGGAAACATGGATTGTTTGAGAATAAACCATGATCAGTGGCGTAGCTGTAGGGGACATGGAGGCATGTGAACGAACCCAATGGATAACTTTTTAAAAAAAATATTTAAGAAAGAGAAAGAAAGGATGGGGTATGGAAAATGAGAAAAAGGACGAGAACAGACGATGTCTGGACTAGCTCCCGCACCCTCCCCCTAATCAGTAGCCCTCCCTCTAATTAGTAGCATTATAATTCGCTATCGTTTTTCGAATAAGAGCGGTGCACGTACCCCCACTCCTACCCAAGCGTTCCAGTGGCCCCTCGACGAGTAAACTCGCGTTACTCGCGCTTCTCATGCTCTTTCTCTCTTCCTCTCTCTTTCTATATCTCTCTTTCTCTCTCTCTCTCTCTTTCTCTCTATATCTCTCTCTGTCTCTCTCTTATCTCTTTCTCTCTTATCTCTTTCTTCTCTCTCTCTTCTCTCTCTATTTCTCTCTCTCTCTATATCTCTCTCTCTCTCTTATGTCTTTTTCTCTCTCTCTCTCTCTCTCTCTTTCTCTATGTCTTTCTCTCTCTCTCTCTCTCTCTCTCTCTCTCTCTCTTTCTCTCTCTCTGCGTGTATGATGTGTAGGGCCGGGCGCTAGCTGACTTCTAATATCACCCTTGTCTACAAATTTGTTGTGTTTTTATTTTCGTATTAAAGTTCTTGTAAAGAAGCACGTTCAAAGCACGTTTAGGACGTGAGTTTTCGTAAATTGGCTTTATGTTTGTCACGAAGTGTTGGGTAAGCAGCACTTTCTCAATCATTTGTATAATTTGTGAGTTTTCTATTTTTTATTCATCTTTATTCATGCTAAGGTATAAAATGACAAACAAAGCCCTTGAAAATACACAGGCATGCACTCTCCAACTATTCTTCTTTATAGTGCATGTGGATGGAGGATGGATAATAGCCCAAATATCCGCTGATGCACTTAGTTATCAATCAATTAATCACATTTGAGTCAAGGAACCATTGGATACAAAAGTGGTTCAATCGACTTAATATTTATACACGTCATACATTATGGAAGGTATTGCTCTAAGTACTATCGCTTTTACTACACCTCCATTAGCTCCTATGGATACCGGTATACTGTATACAACTCCGTATCTTCCTGATTATTCAAAGCTTTTAATATAAATCATTCATCTTCTTGAGAGGGAAATATTGTAGTCATTTCAAACTTCAAAGACGAGTAAATAAACTACCACTAATGCAAACAGAGTTCGTCATTTCTCTGACGAAATTTAAATGCACGTGATTTAGAAGTAAGTTTACTCCATTTGGCGGGTGTTTTTGGTAACTATCGTGGAATTTTATCAACATTCTCAAAAGCGATATAATTAAATTCGATGGTAAGTTTATCCTCATAAGTACTTATAATGCCTTTCTTTCTTTCTTTTTTTCTTTCTTTCTATAACTCTCTTTTTCGCGCTCTAACTCTCTTCCCCTCTTTCTCTCTATATATTTTTCTTTTTCGGTCTCTCTCGCTTTTTCATTCTTTATTGTTCTTTCCTTGTTATATCCCTCTGGCAACGAGTTTGGAGACGAAGTTTATCGAGATTATTTTAGAAGTCATTATGTCACGTCTAGACGTAACATTGGCCCTAGAACTAATCTCTGTTAATTTCGTTTTTTTTTAAGGAAAATATTTATAAGAGGACACCCTTTTGTGATGATATCATCGCCAGATGGACATCAATATATTGGACTGGAAATTTGAGGAGGCGCGAAAGCTCAGTCGGTAGAGCAGTGGTCTCGTAATCCGGTCCCTCCAGGTCCCTCGAAGAGGACCTAAAGCCGTCGGCCGTCTGGTTGCTTACTTACAAGCATTTATGCTTTCTTAGCAGTCAGGTAAAATAACCACCACCACCACCACCACCAGAACTGTAAATGGTACTCTATTGGAGAGATATTCAGAGATCTTATTTTCAAGCCATTCATATCGAGGATTCACGCTGTGCGCTAAAACAGCCACACCCTCACAGGACTCCCCAGAGGCCAATGGACCTGTGCGCTAAAACAGCCACACCCTCACAAGACGCGCAAGAGACCAATGGACTGGTGCGCTAAACCAGCCACACCCTCACAAGACGCGCAAGAGTGCGCTAAAACAGCCACACCCTCACAGGACGCCCAAGAGACCAATGGACCGGTGCGCTAAAACAGCCACACCCTCACAAGACGCGCAAGAGACCAATGGACCGGTGCGCTAAAACAGCCACACCCTCACAGGACGCTCTAGAGGCCAATGGACCGGTGCGCTAAAACAGCCACACCCTCACAAGACGCCCAAGAGACCAATGGACTGGTGCGCTAAAGCAGCAACACCCTCACAAGACGCCCAAGAGGCCAATGGACCGGTGCGCTAAAACAGCCACACCCTCACAGGACGCCCAAGAGGCCAATGGACCGGTGCGCTAAAACAGCCACACCCTCACAGGACGCCCAAGAAACCAATGGACCGGTGCGCTAAAACAG